GTTGCCTGGACCCTGCCTATTCTGTTGCCTGGACCTATGGTCTCTCTCGCTCGCTTTCACTTAGGCATCGCCGTCCCTTCAAGCGTCACCAACAAAACACAGAATGCAATTCCTGGTGGCCGTTGTTTCTCGGTTACTTGTTTGTTGTGTATATATCTCCTTCCTTATCTGCATAGTCTGGTTGACGACTGCATCTTTTGTTTCCAATTGTGGAACCTTCTGTGGAGAGAAGATCTTTTATTTACATTTACTTCAGTCAGAAGTTACTTTACGATTTGAATACACTGAACATGACATCAAGCGTACACTGAGAAGTGAAATTTAACTTTATTGTAATATTCGTTACTGTACGTTTTACTTTTAATTTGGCGGTGTTTTTTCGTATGCATCTCTTCTTGTATTCGAAGAGTAAAATAATGTGCACATGAGCTGTATTAGCGTCACGATTCATTCAGGCACCCAACAACCATGAAGAGACAACCAAAGTTTGTCTCTTCAGACAAATCGTATAGAATCATTTCCGTCAAATTCGTCTCATTTGCGTTATAAAGGAAGAATAAGTTGAAAGCTGGTCACTGCGAACTTTTCCTGTGCGTTCACTAGAGATCATAAGGGTGCGCTCAAAAACATTCCTTAGCATGTTTGAGAAAAAAGCATAGGCCGTAAAACAGCGCCTTTGGACTAGTTAGGAACGTTTAGCCGGGTTTCGTAAAAGTTCCTTTGTTAGCGCGCCGGCGCATTGTCAACTCAGGTCGAGTTTGACGTGTTTCCTCAACGATTTTCTTTCTCGGCTTTCCCTAGCGAGGATGAGAGAAAGTGCTGCTTCCATGCCAAAAAATATGCTTGAAATGACGGCAAATGCTAAGTCCACCCCTGGTCGCTCTTTACTTTCAAAAATTTTTTTGAGAATGGATCGGCCAATTTCCTAGTGTTGGATTGGCTGTTGTTAGTACAAAACAAAGATGAATTTGTGCTACTCGATTCTCCACAAGCTGTGTAGGTTGTAGGCAACGTTTGGCAGGTGGTTATTGACTGTGCTTGCCCCAACGCTTAGAACTTTTTTATATAAAATAATAAATTGATTCATATTCTCAGGTTACAATTTTTTTCCCTTGTCTATATGTATATTAACCCTCTACCGCCGAATGTCGTTCTCCGGGAACATAACTTTCAACTCAAATTATAAGTAAACTAGTGAGTGTAACAACCTGATTACGTTTGTACGCAACTGAGAACATTTTAAAGTTGTCGTACGTGGCGGCAACCACCAGTGCAAGTCATTTTGAGCTCACTGGAACGTATCCTTTTTAGGAAGTTGGCTTGTGACAATATTGCTCTCCGGTTACTTATGTCAGGCGGTAGAGGATTAATTCAAGATTTTCTCCATTTCTAAGTTGAAATAAATTCACTTAAATTAAAAAAATTGAGCTGGTAGTGTTTAGAAATGTGTGGTCGGAGTTTCGTCCATTGAAAATGTGTTCCCAGTGGAGTGCCGCCGAGCGATCAAGCTTCTTCATCAGGTCTCACCAATGCACGTCTTCTTTGGACGCCCCGTATTTTCAGTTGCTCCTTTGAGGAACTTTTACTTGGTTTGAAATTTTATTATGCAAGTTTTGGTAGTTGAGTAATGAAGTTATAAGGACGCTGGAGCTAGTCGCTAACTCTGTCACTCGAGTTTGGTGTGGCTTACAGAATCGCCCGAACCGAGACGCGACCGAGGTTTCGATTCAAGAGCGATCGATGTCTACATTGCGAATAACTTTGTGGAAGGATGGAATGCGTCCTTGAAATTTGGCCTCGGCTTTGTTCAATCGATGAGCTCCTTCTGCTGGTTAATCTGGTATTTATTTTATATCGATTCATTCCTAATTTTAAGGTATAATTTTCGAAAGTACTTAAACGGATAATTTGAAAATTATTATTCACCAGTAATGCTCAATTCTATGTTGAACTATGCTCTGCATTTGATTGAAGCTTGCGCCTGAATCGTCAAACATGATGTTTAATTGTTTCATACTGTTTTTGAACGTTCGGCATCATTGCAGGTACAACTCCACGGTTTTCACACCCAGCATTTAATTTATTTCGTTGGTAACTAAAGGTTCGCGACATTGTTGAAATTTTTTCTTTTCTTCATGGTATTTATTTCGAGCGTTTTCTATTTAGAGTTTGTATTCTGATTTTCACACGTATTAGGATTATTTTTCCCATTTCAACTGGTTCAAATTCCTCCTATCCTTAGGATACTTATTTAGAAATTATTTTATTTAAAGTTTTTATTTGGGTTACATACACTCAACCTAGGGTTAGTTTTTTTTTCTGCTCAATTCGTCAAATCTACAGGAGAAGTCAGAAGGTGTAAAATATATACATTATATCATTTATGCTATTGCTGTGTTTCATTTCCCCTTGACGCACATAACGCAATTAATTCAGGATTTAATGGAAAATACTTGTTTGTTTCCACGAGAAGTTATTAAATCAACAAAAGTTTACCAGGAAAAGGAATTATTGACCCTGAACAACTGAAATTTCTTAATGCCGCACAAATGAAAGCGTTCCATTTGCATAGTCGTACCGTTATTATAATCCATGAAATACTAGTAATTTAAATGAAGTTTTCATTATATTCATGTTGATGATTAAGTTAAATTGCAAAGATTACGGTAGCATTTACTTATAAGCCTAATAGTTTGGGATGGACAACATCTTACGTTCTTAGATAAGAGATAAAGTGCTTATGACGTATCCTATGGCAGCCGTGGGAGGCAAAAATCCCCATCTTGGGGGAAACTGGTCCATTGCTGAAGGGGACCCAGGAGGGGGTGATGAGGGCGGAGGGGGTGAAGGGGGCAGCAACAAAGAAACAACATTCAAGACATCAGGATTTGGAGTCACATCCGTGGACGACGGAGGTGGCCTCTTCATTATCATGACCCGTGAGTGCGCCGTGTGGACTTGGTGTCCTGATTGCGGGTCTCATGGCAGGACTCGTATTGGAATATCTTTAGCAGAGTCCTTAGTGGTTGGACCCGTAACTGAGTCTTCATTAGAATAATCTTGACGTGGTTCTCGTTAAATAAAACCCTTAACTGGGTCCTGGTATAAAAAACTCATGGCAGGGAATATTCTCATATTGGAATATTCTTAGCAGAGTCCTTATTGGTTGGATTCTTGACTGAGTCTTCATTAGAATAATCTTAACATGGTTCTCCTAAAATAACACCCTTAACTGGGTCCTGATGTAAAAAACTCGGAGCAGCGTTCGCATTGTAAAATCCTTAGCAGTGTCCTTATTGGTTGGACTCTTAATTGAGTCCTCATTAGAACATGGTTGTCGTAAAATAAAACCCTTAACTGGGTCCTGGTATAAAAAAACTCATAGCAGGACTCTTATTGGAATATCCTTAGCAGAGTTCTTATTGGTTGGACTCTTAGCCGAGTCCTCATTAAAAGCTTAACAGGGTTCTCGTAAATAAAACCCTTAACTGGGTCTTGGTATAAACAAGTCATAGCAGGGCTCTCATTGGAATATCCTTGGTAGAGTCCTTACTGGTTGGACTCGTATAAAAGTCCTCATTAGAATAAGCTTTACATGGTTTTCGTAAAATAAAACCCTTCACTGTGTCCTGGTATAAAAACTTACAGCAGCGTTCGCATTGGATTACCTTACGCAGAGTCCTTATTGGTTGGACTTGTAGCTAAGTCCTCGTTAGAATAAGGTTAACATGGTTCTCGTAAAATAAAACCCTTAATTGGGTCCTGGTATAAAAAAAAGCTCGGAGCAGCGTTCGCATTGGAATACCCTTAGTATGCAGGGTTCTCATTGAGACACCATCAGCTGGGTTTTCAATTGGTGTTCCTTATAGCAGGACCTTCCTTGATAAAGCCCTTAGTAGGATCAATGTCGAGAGACCCTAAACAGGTTGGAGGGCTCTTTTAGTAATGTTCCTATTAAGGAGTTCATAGCAGAGTTCGCATTGGGTGATCACGGAGCTGCTTATAATTAAATAATTAATGCTAAGCGTCGCTTGGTTTATTCTTTGTGGGGATACCTCACTTGATGATTCCCTTTCTCTCGCAGGATGTTCTTCTCAATGGATCGCTTAGGATCGACTTGACTTGTTATTTTTACCCCAGCGCGTTTATTCTTTTCAGACTTGATTACCGCCGCCAAGGCACAGTATTCTTTCCTGTGTGGAGATAGTTAATGTTTCATGCATTAAAAATAAGTTTAATTTTCTACTTTTTGTCCATGTAGTAAGTAATAAGCATTCTATAGCGACACCACTTCTCCAGGATTTGGTTTCATCAGGTCAACGAGATTTTTTTAAGTGTTGCATCAATTGCCCGAGAATCTTTGACTTGGCATTGACTAATTGACTAGACTTGGGACGTCGTTTTTAATACACTGTTGGAAGAAAAACCTTGAAAAAACGGTCTTACTGACGTTCTAGTGATCGGCCGCCTCGTGACAATAAACCGTTTTGCCGTTTTTTCAGATGTTGTACGGGTTTCTAGTGTTAAATTTGGAATAAAAACGGCCACATGGCGTTTCTTTTCACGTGTCTGCCGGCCACTGAAATGCCGGTAATACCGTTTATGGGTGATTTTTAGAACAGTGTATCAAACTTCCTTAGTTTCTACGCTCGTTGTACGTAAGTATTAAAATTGGGAACTTTTCTTGGAGCAAAAAATTCACCTTGCAACATAATTCGTGTTTTCTCAATAGAAAATCGATCCCAGGCTCTTTTTTCATCAATACTGCTCAACTTGATAGAATACTTCAAAAGTTTTTCAACTTTTCAATTGACTTATTCTTCTTTCTCATTACGAGGACACATCTTTATGGAAAGCATACTATGTCTATTTTGAGCCGTTTTCGTTTTTTGTATTAGACATTTCGAGATTATTGCATCTAACTTACATTGCAGTTGCGTGTATAGTACCTAGTTTGGTTAAGCCATGGTCTGACGCAGTATTTTTGTTTCGTATTACAGATCCTCCTAAGTTCGTGGAGACTCCGCGCAGTCAGCGCGTGCTGAACGACATGGCAGCTTCCTTCACGTGTCGGGCGGAGGGCAACCCGCCTCCTGTCATCGAGTGGAGGAAGAACGGACGGCGCATTGGCGGCACCAACAGGTAGTCTAACTTGGTAAAGAATAGAAGTGTCGGCGCTGAAGAAATAGGCCCATGGCCTGTTGCCGATTCTTGTATTTTTCGCGACTTGATTCACAAGGGATCCGGCCTTTGGAACCCGATCATAACTGACGATTGATTGAGATAGCTGCTGGATTTATAGCAAGGCTCGTAAGGTGCTACGTATTTTAAGACTGAACATATGCTCCTGCATAGCTTCGTCTAGACTGTTCTTGAAGGCGTTCATATACTCGGAGCGTCAACGATGCTATCAGGGAGGCTGTTCCAATAAACGCAGTAAAAATTTACGGACGCGGCAGTTTCTGATTTGGATTACCAGAAGCTGGGGCGACTCTAAATTTTGTTAGGGTACTGCAGTGCCTGATGATAGTACCTACCGGAGTTAATGATACAGTTAGTGTTGTACTTGAAGGTTACCTGATGGTTACCTGACTGCGAACAATAAGTGTAGTACCTGATCGTAACCTTTCATCAACAATTATTGTAGCACCTGATGGTAACCTGCCTACGAACAATTAGTGTAGCGCCTGATCGTAACCTGCCTACGAACAATTAGTGTAGCGCCTGATCGTAACCTGCACCTGATGGTAACCTGCCTACGAACAATTAGTGTAGCGCCTGATGGTAACCTGCCTACGAACAATTAGTGCAGCGCCTGATGGTAACCTGCCTACGAACAATTAGTGCAGCACCTGATTGTAACCTGCTACGAATAATTATTTTAGCACCTGATGGTAACCTGCCTATAAAAATTTATGGTAATACCCGATGTTAACTTACTCACAAACAATTATCGTCTCACCTGATGGTAATCTGTGTATAATCAATCACCGAAGTATGTGAATGAAGGCAATCTGCGCGCGAACAATTTAGCTCCCAATGTTAACCTGCTTATCAATCATGTCTTGGATGCGCTGGTGTGAGTTTTAGGTACACTTTAGTGCAGTCCATTAATACTGTTTCGTCAAGTGAGTCATTTAATTTCAGAACAAATGCCCATGCACAGATCCTAGCGTTAACAGTATTTGCTGCACGTTCATTAGCCAATATTTTTTATGAGGTGTGCCATTGGCTAGGTAGCCCCCGGCCAAAAATAACAATACTTGATATTTTTGCCGGGTTATTTATTACTCAAGAATATTGATACTTATAAAAAATTGAAATTAATCTCTTGTGATAAACAAAGATGGTTTCGAAATTTGGAGGACTTCAGTTCGTTGAATTTTTAATTGTATGGGTAGTTTCTGCTCATGAAGCAAAATTATATATCTGCTACTTTCAATATTTCACTAAGCAGTTTTTAATTTCCAGGACTTATTTCCGCAACCTTGCTATTTCTACAGTTTAGTGTAACTTCTTATACTGAGATGAAGTTGGAAGTTCTCTGAGCTTTCTTTTTTTTCTTTTGAGTCATGTAAGATTACCTTAATATTCTGTTGGTCCTCAACGCTCTTTCTTCTGTAATTAACGTGTAGGAGATGATTTCCCTGTTGAAATGTAAACTGATGCCGACAGCCGAAATTCGTTCGTTCTTTATCTGATGTTGTTTTGCTTATATGGTACAAGGGTTTTGAAGTTACTTCATCGCAATTCCGTGGTGCATCATTTCGTTGACACTACGTACATTGACAATGTACATTCAATGGTTCATCATTTCATTGTCAGCACGTTGATTGGCAATGTACATTCAATGGTACATTATTTCACTATCACTACGTACATTGCCACTGTACAATCAATTGTACATCATTTCACTGTCACTACGTACATAGACACTATTCAATGATACATCAATTCACTATCACCACTTACAGTGACACTGTACATTCAATGGTGCATCATTTCATTGTCACGAGGTACATTGACACTTATGTACCTTGACACTATGTACCTTTTCAATATCACTACGTACATTGTCAATGTACCTTCATTGTACATCATCGACACTGCGTTTCTTTGTTCGTCAGATTCTTGACCATCGACGTGCCCGGAGGTTCCATCCTGCGCATCGAGCCTGTGAAGTATCAACGCGACAACGCGACGTACGAATGCGTGGCGGAGAACACTGCGGGCGACACGATCAGCGCTAAGGCCACCCTCGAGGTCTTCTCTGACGACCGTGAGTATACGTTCGTCTGCCCGTTATATATCGTTTTGAAATTAGTTAATTAAATAATTGTTTTGAAGAGCGATTGTTAGTGAAATTCTTTTGAAAAAATTCTATAATATCCGTGATTCAAGGTCGTATATAAATTAATCAAATAAATAATTGCTTTGAAGAGAGATAATTCGTGAAGTTTGTTTTAAGAAATTCTATTATATACGTGATTCAAGGCAAATTCTTAGATGTTGTCCGGATAACAGAAGACTATCATCATTCGTTCATTTTAACGTTAACGTAACATTTTAAATGAACAACGCGTTCATTTTAACGCGAGGGAATTCGCTTGTATATTAGAAACGTTTTCATCAATTTTAATACTACTGCTTTCATTGGTTCCACTTAACGTTTAATGCGACGTTATTATTTAGAGGTATTCCAATAAAAAGAAGAAACTGTAAGATTCGTCCATTAAATTTGTAAATATTACATATACCGTCACGAGTGTAACGCAGCTCCGTAGCTATTATACCGATTAATTTGTTTGCAAATACGACATCGGATTTGAATCCGTTTTCGTATTCAGGGGCCATACTTTCAAAACTCGCTAAGTGAACGTAAGTACTTACGCTCTATTTTCTTGTCTATGATTGGTGGATTTTGCTTGCGTGGCCGTCAATGATTGGCTGATGGGCTTACGATCGCTTAACTTTTTTTGAAAGTATGGGCCCAGGACTCGTATCTTTACCTTTAAAACACCACTCGTATGGTCGCAGCTCCGTGTCAAAAATCTGCTGTCCGCTGTTGCGTTAAATTTCTCCAATTAGCGAGTCATGTACGAGGCTTTAATGATCAAAGGCGCGAAATCTTTCACACTTAAAACAATTATTCTATAATTATCATGATAAAATTAGGAGCAACAAATTTATCCTTAATTAAATTTCCCATTTATCTTTTATCTATCTTAAACTCTGAGCACCGTCCACAAGTCAAAAATTCACAAGTCACCCTCAACAAGTCAAAGGCGCGAAATCTTAAACACGTTAAACAATTACTTTATAATAATCATGATTAAATTAGGAGCAACACATATTTCTCTTTAATTGAATTTTTCATTTATCTTTATCTATCTTAAACTCTGAGCGCAACGTCCACGAAAATTCAACAACTTAGATCAAAGGCGCGAAATCTTTCACACTTCAAACGAACAATTATTCTATAATTATCATGATAAAATTAGGAGCAACACATATTTCTCTTCAATTGAATTTTCATCCATCTTATATCTATCTTAAACTGTGATCGCAACGTCCACAAGTCAAAAATTCAACAACTTTGATCAAAGGCGCGAAGTCATTTACATATCAAGCAATTATTTTATAATTATCATGATAAAATTAGGAGCAACACATATTTATCTTTAACTGATTTTTCATTTATCTTTTCATCTTAAACTCTAAGTGTGAATTTATAAACGTGGTTAGTCTTTGAGCCAACAATTGCCTGTATACGTCCACATTGTATCCCAGATAAAAGCTCGCCCACACACTGCCGATTTGCTAACGAATGTCTTCTTTCCTGACACATTCATTGGCCCTCTCTTCATCATTATTGCTTCGTGCTTAATGTCATTAAAGCTGAATTTCCTCGCCCGAAAGGTTTGACTTTTAGTTCCATTACAAAGTTGCCATTTGAACTCCGTTTCTAAAATCCTCGGACACATTTTGCCTGTTGCCGTTTAAAAGGCTGGAAGATGAGTTCCCTTTGACTTTGCTCTTAATGCGACCAATTCTTCTGTATAATTGCTACCATTACTGCTCGCCAAAAGTCTGCGGGGAAAATCTACCACATTTCGATGTGCCATTTGACTGTTCCGCGAATCTTATGATTGTTAACGTAGTTAACTTCGTAGAGTGTTATTACATTTCGCTGGACTTGGAGATTCCAACAGCTAATTTTATTTTTGAAACTTATGATTTTGATTTTTATGGGAACTTTTAGTCGGAATTCAGCCATCTCGTGTTTGATGCATGATTTATCGCTCCGACGTTTCTGTTATATGAGTCGCGCAGCGTTCCTTGTTTCTATGCTAATTTTCATTGTAAAATTCAGCCAAATGACCTCGAGTCAAAAGCTCGCCAAGTTTTCCCTGCCAAACGAAAGTTTTGTTTCCGGTGAAGTTTCAGGTGTCATGAGTTCAGCATTTGTGTTATATGACCGAAATCGAAGTAAAGATTTAGAGGACATAAGAATAAAGAACACGAGGGTGGGAAGTGGATGGCTGGCACCAAGGGGCCATACTTTCATAACTCGCTAAGTGAATGTAAGTACTTACGCTCTATTTTCTTATCTATGATTGGTGGATTTGGCTTAAAAGACCGTCAATGATTGGCGGATGAACCTACGATCTCTTAACTTTTTTTGAAAGTATGGGCCAAGGTCAGGATTCTGTAGCCATCGCGTCTCACGACGTCCCTAATTAAAGTCCTGCCTAATTTGCGTTTTTTATAGCGGCTGTCGTCACGGGCCCCACCGAATGGATTAAATCCTCAATATGTTAATTTGTGCATCGATTAAAATCGGATGGGATCGAGCATCTTGTTGAGTGTGCCACTCGAGAGTTCGTAGTCCCTTCGCCTTTGATGGTTCGTCTTGCTTTTTCCGTCAAATAGAACAACGCCTGCTACACTGTTAGAAAAAACGATGAAAATACGGTCCCACTGGCATTCTAGTGGCCGGTCGCCCCGTGAAAATAAATTGTTTCACCGTTTTTATCAGATGTTTTACGGATTTCTAGTGTTTAATTGGAATAAAACGGTGACACTGTGTTTCTTTTCACGTGCTGACCGGCCACTGAAACGCCGGTAATACCGTTAACGGTAATTTTTCTAACAATGTACTTTGAATTCTTTATTTATCGCGTGCGTTCGCTTCGATTATATTTTGCACATTTCGATGGTTTAAGTCTTGCGTCTAATTTCTCGTAGATAATGAAGAGATAATGTTATCAATTTAATCAAAGGTCATTGTTCGTTGAAACTGGTTAGAACATTTACCTACAAATTAAACTATTACAACATATTAAGATTGTAAGTTCTTAACTTTTTGTTAAGATTGATAAGATAAGATTGCGAGGAAAATGTATGGAAGGCCTTGTAGCTTCTTGAGCGAAGCTTGATAGTTTGTCTTGATACAGTTTAAATGGCCCATTATTAAAGTTATTTCCTTCTTTAGCACTGCTTCAAAATTAAGGTTCAACTTTGAAACTCGTAGATTTCTACAATTTTTGAATATCAAAGACGTATGTCTATTTGGAGACGTCCATCTGATCTAAATTTTCCATCAATAGGTTTAGGATGATACCCACAATAGAGGTCTGTATTGAAAGGTGATTGCAGATGTTGAATGTGATCTGCCTCGAAGAATCATCGTAATGAGCTGATCTATTATAGGGTGATTCGCGGAAACTTTTTCAATAAAAAATAACTGGTAAATATATCATTGCAATATAAATTTTATTCTAAAGACATTACCTAAATTTTCGTTTCACTTTCTTTTAAAGCTGACATCGGACAAATGACGGCCCCCATTGTTAATGCATTCAGTTAGTCGATTTTTTAACACAAAGTTTCATGAATATGTCTCGTATGAAATACCCTCCGCTCTTTTCCTACAACATTTGGCTGCTTGGCTTGTAATAAAAAACAGGAAGTACATTATGTGCGAGCTAACAAATTTTCTCTTCACTCTGCATTCTGGTGCTTTTTGCTTGTCAACTTTTTGTGAATTTTCAATATCCCAACTCGTCAGGAACTTTTTTTTAGCTACATAAGTAACTCGATCAACCTTCTCAATCCCTGACTTGGGTATCAACGATTTCGTTAAGCTACTCAATTAATAGAACAAATGATATATGTTTGATGTTGCTTATTTATTACGAACTAGTTGAGTTTCATTGTCTCGTTAAGTTGTATTCATATCTGTTTATCTCTGAGCCTCTCATGTATGCTGCTGCACTGAACGTCCTGACTTTTTGGTTCATCTCAAACTAATTTTGATGAACTCGAGCATAAAAAAATGGTTTTCATATTCATGATATGTTTGCAACTTATTTATTATTTATTTATTATTTCTGAACTGTTTGCAATCAAAGTCATTTAGAGTTCTCATTCTCATTCGGTAAGTAAAACTTGCCTCGCTAGAAATGCCTTCCAGGTGAAATATGTGCGAGATTCAATTTCATGTTTCCCCAAGGCTGAGCTCTTGATGGACTCAAAAGCAGTTTTTCATAGCAGTGATGACGAGTCGGGACGGCTCTCGCTGCTATAATGTGAAGATCTCTTATACACTTCGGCACGTACGTTCTAGTGGAGATCGTTGTCTCAATTTTTCATGCCTACAGCTCTTCTGCCGATCACAATTTTAATCCTAGTCTTTTTTTCTTTTCAAACCTGATTCATTCAAATGAGCTCTGTGTGGTTTTTCGGCGAGTAATTTGAAGCGCTAATTACCCACCATTCGTCGTGCAGTTTTATCTTGCGGGTTTTTCCTTTTCGACTCGGGAGTTGGTCTTCTCGATGGATTTTAAAACCCGTTTTGTCGGACCCGCTAAGGAAGCTCCTGCATGTGCATTTTTATTTTGGAATTGTCCCTCATCAACCCACACAATCGTCGCGTATTTAATGTTCTTTTGTGCTGCCTTTAGCTTGCTTCTGATGCTTCCATTTCGTTTTTTTTTTCAAATAATATTAGAAAATAAGTCTTGGTCATTAGTCTGCTTAAGCCGCAAGTTTCCAAGAATTTGAAAGCAAAGAAAATGATGGTCTCCGCAACGACTTCATTGAAAATATGGCGAATTTACTTGGCGTTTTCTCTGCTTTTAAATTCTTATTTTAGACATGAATGAGTCCTGAACTGTAAAAAGACGATGTAATGCTAAAACCTACACTTATTAAAGGCCTTTTTAGTGGGGATTCTAATCCTTGAAGTGATCCTCAATTAACGAGACTAATGTTCGAGGCCCGATGTAGAAAAGAGCTGCTTCAATGTAAATGTTCTCTCAAAACTTATCTCTTCCGTAAACCTCTAAAATTTTAATGTTTATTTTTCTATTATTCAGTTAGTGTTCGTTCTATTCTCGGCCTTTTGATTATTTTCATTCATATAATCTACCTAATGAGTGAGAAATTCTGTCAAGAGTTCGTAAATTTTTTATTACAGACACTTTTATGAACGAGATGTTGTCATCCACATGACGATATTATTGTATTGAGTGCTCTACCATTTTGATAATTAAAAAATATATATTTTCTTTAATGCTGAAAAGCTAACATATCATAATATCATAAGTGTTCGGTCACAGAGCCATAATTCGTGGTTGATTTCTTTCAAATACTTAAAATGCCTAAATATTATCTTTTTGCTTACTTTTGCGGTATAACGACCTCCTATTCTGGTCCGTTGACATTTTGTACATTTTAGAACAGAATTCAGTTCCCTAAAATGCAGTGTTGCCCGCTAATTCGTCGGTGATTTGTCACATTTTTTTACACATCCTTAACATTAATTTTAACTTTATTTTCAAAGTTCGGAATTTTCTGGCATTTAACTACTCATCCTTAAAATAATTTTTTCGTGTATAGTTGGAGCTGCAGCAAGCAGTATTGGAGCAGATGCTGGTATAGTTTAAGTTGTTTCAGGCATTACTTTAATTTTCGTTATTGGAGAAAACTGTTATTATTACAGTAGCCTAATATAGTTTAAGATATATCATAATTTTTACATGATTTATTTTCAAGGATGACTAGAATTATTTTTTCGTGAGTCTTGATAATTTCAACGATAGCTGGTATGATTTTTCGTGAGACGGTTTAAGTTGGGCGATACATAAAACACTGCATGTAATTGAAGTGGATGGTGGCATAATTCAGACGCTGGATCTTACAACAAAATAGGCTGAATGCTTTAGTTCATATGCATACTAATTTCAGATTTTGATTGTTCAGTCAGGACTAAAATGTTGCTACGCTTTTTAAGGCGTAAAGGCTGCTTCGCTCTTACTTGGTTTTTCTATGTTTTTTTTCACCGTCTGCACATTCTTTATTAAGTTTGACTGCCTAGCCTACGGCTCACGCGTAATGTTGGAGGCAACTATATTGACAAGGTTTTACTTGCAATGACATTTTTTCTTTGATTTATGGTCAAGTAAAGTTTTCTCAACGAGAGATTTTATTTCATATCGCCATATGATTATGATTATTTCCCGGCAATTTCTATTTCGTTTTTTTCCTGCATGTTATTCCTAGCGTAAATTTATCCATCAACTTCGTAGACATGACTTCAGCGCATCAACCTAAAATATGAAGGTTATTGCTAGTGTAGGTGTACGTTATACTTAGGGTATCGTACGTTAATTTACGTTATTTTTAGGGTATCTTACGTTAACTTACGTTATTGTTAGGGTATCTTACGTCAACTTACGTTATTGTTAGGGTATCTTATGTCAACTTATGCTATTTTTAGGGTATCTTACGTTAGCTTACGTATTTGTTAGGGTATTTTACCTTAACTTACGTTAAAGTTGGGTCATCTAACGCAAACGTATGCTATAGTTGGGTTATATTACGTTAACTTTCGTTATAGTTAAAATATTACACGTTAATTTCCTTAAAGTTGAGTCATTTTTCATTACGTTACTTTATTGTTGAATTATTATGCGTTGACTTCATAGTTGATGCATCTTACGTTGACCTCTGCTACATGGGTTAATACATGCAGCGGCTGTTGCACCAGACGCTCCCGTATGGCCGCCTAAATACGGTTGCCTATATACGGTTGCCTATATACGGATGCCTATATACGGTTGCCTATATACGGCTACCTATATACAGCTGCCTATATACGGTTGCCTATATAAGGTTGCCTATATACGGCTGCCTATATACCTTTGCCTNTGTAGAGTTGTTTTTGTGTAATACATATTTTTGCTGTGTGCAGAGTTGTTTTGTGTAATACATATTTTTGTTGTGTGCTGAGTTGTTTTGTGTAATACATATTTTTGTTGTGTGCAGAGTTGTTTTGTGTAATACATATTTTTGTTGTGCGCAGAGTTGTTTTTGTGTAATACATATTTTTGCTGTGTGCAGAGTTGTTTTTGTGTAATACATATTTTTGTTGTGTGCTGAGTTGTTTTTGTGTAATACATGTTTTTGTTGTGCGCAGTTGTATTACGAAGTTAAACGTGCGCTAATTATTAAAGTTGCACACCCATGGTATGATATACATTAGCTTTAGTGTCCATTTACTTAATTTCGAACATGTTTCGAGTGTTCAAGCATTTTCCCAGAATAAATTGATGCTTTATGGTAGTTCTTTACTACTCCTTTCGCTATCGTCTAGCTTAGCTAATATTATTATCATTCCTATTTGTTAAAAAATGTTCTCTCTAATCTGGCTACGCTGTTACATTATCATGCAGACTGTTGAAAATTTCTAATAATTAGTTACTCATGAGATACAAAACGTCATGTATTTACACTCACAAACTGCCCAATATGTCCTAAATAGTTTACTTGTGTACTCATGCGATATGATATTTACATATATTTATTTAGAAAAAAATTAATGAAAGTATTTCAAGTTTAACATCTCAGTAGATTATCTCGAATTCCGTCAGATGATAACAATGTTTTCTACCGTGACAATTGAAGTAAAAAAATGAAAGCGGCAGTATCGCGAATCATGTTTCATTACCGCACTAAAGATACAAGGAGTTGCTATGTTTGGGGTTCACAGTCAAATTTTGATCGATTGTATAAACCCAATCGCTCACAAGCATGACCTAAGGAGAAGTTCTAATGCAACTTCCCTAACAAAATTTAGAGTCGCCCCAGCTTCTGGTAATCTAAATCAGAAGCTGCCGCGTCTGTAAATTTTCACTGGGTTGATGCATTGAAGTTGGCTCTTGATTTAATGTCATCAGTTCCTCGTCTAATGCGATGGTGTATGATATTGTTTACTCTATGTGTATGATCAGCTTTGGTTAGTCCATATATACAAGAAATTAAGCCAGAAATCTAGGTGAAGACAAGCGATCTTTACTAAGTAACTGTCTTGAGAATTTAATTGAGTTGATTTCGTGTCGCCAGACTTGAACGGTGTTTCAAAAAGTGTCTCATTAAATTTTTGGACTTGACTGTGAATTTGCATGTGCGATATGAGTCTCCGGTCGTCAAGCATCCTCGAGGGCTACAAATATGCAGGTTCAAGGCTGTAATCCGACGCTACCGCCCTACTGGGTTTCTCTCGCGAATTTCCAGTGTAGGCATCGCTAAAAATCTCGACGTATGCAAATTGGGAAATAAGTGTTCCTGTTTGAAACGTTGGAGCGTAGATAATTTTTCAGAATTTCTAATTTAGTGAAGAATTACAAGTGGCGAGCTTGACGAAGGAAGGATTTTGCTCTGCTGGTAGCGCTGAATGTTCGCATCAGCCATGATCCAATATGTGGATTTTCCTTAAAGATTTTTATGTGTGGTGAGATAATTAAATTATCTCATCACTAATTTAATATTTATTCAATTTTCATTATTTCACCACTCATCTTTTTTTCAACAGTTTATTTTACCCATTAGAAATTTAATTTCGACTATTCATATCTCAGCTGGGAAAATCGAACTCTTAAACCATAAGCAAAGAATGAAATTAATTGTTCAAAAAATTTTATTCTGATGCTTGTTGTTTTCATTGTTGATTCATGACCTTCACGCTTTCATGAACCGTGATAAATTTTGAATTAAGCAGAGAAATCTTTGTGTGTTTCTCATAAGCTGTGTAGCTAAGCATATAAGCTTAATTCTTTGTTCAATTTTGAGTTTAATTTTTTCGCATTCATGTTTGACATTCCTGCGTTTCTTCATAAGAAATTGTTTAAAAGTTCATCTTTTTGAGCGCTTATTTTTTTCCTAAGAGTCCAACGAAATAGTCTTTTAATCCCTCATCTATTCTAATTAACATTTCTTATTTATCTTTTTGTAAGATTAGCTGTGCAGAATTTATCCATGATATTACATTTGTGCCATCAATGGCTACGATTTCATCCATGCATACATTCGCCCCTGTTATCTGAATCCCTACTTATTATCGCTAGATTTATCTCCGTTACAACTATTTTTCTGTACTTCAATCTTTACTTTATCCTATCATCCAAACCTTTATCCCAGTATCGCAATTTGCTGTTTTAAATGCATCTCTACCATCCATACGTTCATTCCAGTATTACAATATGCTGCTCCATCATCCATACGTTCATCCTTGTTATCACAATTTGCTGCTTTAAATGCCGCTCTATGATCCACACGTTTATGCCAGTATCACAATTTGCTGCTTTAAATGCCGCTATATCATCCACAAGTTTATCCCAGCATCACAATTTGCTGCTTTAAATGCAGCTCTATGATCCACACGTTTATGCCAGTATCACAATTTGCTGCTTTAAATGCCGCTATATCATCCACACGTTTATGCCAGTATCACAATTTGCTGCTTCAAATGCTGTTCTATTATCATCAACACGTTTATCCCAGTATCACAATATGCTGCTTTATCATCCACAGGTTTATCCCAGTATCACAATATGCTGCTTTATCATCCACAGGTTTATCCCAGTATCACAATTTGCTGCTGTAAATGCTGCTCTATCATCCATACCTTAATCCCAGTATCACAATATGTTGTTCTATCATCCGTACGTTTATACCAGTACCACAATTTGCTGCTTATGCAGCTCTATCATCCACACGTTTATCCCCGTTATTTGCTACGCTATAATCAAGAATTATTGTGACTTGCAGGCAACGAGCTACCCGCGGGCTTCCCAACATTCCGGTCTGAGCCCAAGACGAAGGCCGTGGAGATCGAACACACCGCGCTGCTCGTATGCGATGCTTACGGCGACCCCAAGCCTAACGTCACCTGGTACAAGGACCATGTACCCATTGACCTCTCGAACCCTCGCTTCTCCGTCCTTAGCTCCGGTGAGTTCTAATAAATTTTTTGACGGTTTTGTTTCAGAGTTTTGTTTTGTAGTAACTTGTTTGCAATTTTTTGCTAGAAATTTGTTTTGTAGTAAAAATTTGTAGCAATTTTTTGTTTTACATTGTAACATGTGATTGTTTTGTTTAGTCTTTTTACGTTGTTTTCATGTTATGAGCTTGTCTATGTTATGTTTATTTCGGAATAATTACGTCAAATTTTCTCTTCTATTATGCAGTTCATTTATGACTGTGAAATTATGAAGGAAATGAAACTGCTCGATAACTACTTGATAGCCCTTCAACTGCATTTGAAAGCAATCTATGACCCTTTCGAATTCGGATCGGTTAAAATTTCTGGTCTGCATCAATCCTCAAATAATTTTTCCCATTAATTACTATATTGCTTTATGTCAATTTAAATTACAATATTATTATGCTCGTCGTTCACTTCGATTGTAAAAATAAACAATAAATCCTGCTAAAGCGTATTGAAGCTTGTACGTTTATATGCGCAGACTTGGGAAGAATTAGTCTCGTGAGTTCCACACCTCAGGTCTTGAAGTTGTGTGGAAGAAATTGCTTGCTTCAATTCCCTGAAATCGTGGATTTGCCGGGCAGGTTTTAAATTTGGCTTCCTTACTCTATTTAATGTACAACTTTGATCATGTTATTGTCGGAAGTGCAAAACTTCTTCATCAACATTTCACGTACATATGTAAGTTCTAGCAGTTACAATCCTAAGCCAGTCTGCAAAAAGGAGAGCAGATTGCCAAACAACGCGGTAAGGTGTGGCAGACGAGCTCTGGTATTCGTCAGAGCCTCCTTTATTCTGAACTACTGACACGCTTGTGCTGCTGGCTTAATATCTCAGTTGCTGAGTCGTCTGTGCTGCTGGCTTAACATCTCAGTTGCTGAGTCGTCTGTGCTGCTGGCTTAACATCTCAGTTGCTGAGTCGTCTGTGCTGCTGGTTTAACATCTCAGTTGCTAAGACGCTTGTGCTGCTGGCAATGCTTTGCCTTCGGTTGTGGAGGCAGCGCATAATGCAGTCAATTTTCTTTTGATCTGACTTGTGTTCACCTTCCTCCCTGCACTCCACTAAAGGCTTCTGCACCTCATTTGTTCCAACCGTAACTACGAGCTTTGTCTTCAGCGCCTGCCAAGTCTTCATCTTACTTCAGTATTCATTTATACTTTTTAGCGCATTTTCTCATTTCTGGAAAAAAGGCGCTATAGTGCTCGTCATGTCCGTCCGTCCGTCCGTGACCACGTTTTCGTCGACGAGAAATTGCGCTCTCTCTTACTCGCTGCAGTATGTAATACTGAGTTATATTTTTTCTCTTTGTATAGAAATTAAGTTCTTGTAAAGAATTATTTACTGTACTTTCTAAAGTACGTTCTTCATTGCACACCTTTTCATGCATCCTTCTTGTGCCGTATTACATTTTCGTCTCTTTACATTCGTCGTTTGGTATATGAATTACCTTTCAACTTTACACATCGGGTATTCATTTATCTTTCTTTTTGTAAAAATCTCTTATTTTGCATTCGCCGGTTTAATTTGATGTTCTTGCTCATGTTGAACACCACATATCTGCAGCTCACGCTTTTAATTATCACAGCTTATACGTTGACGCTGGAGCGATATCGTCCTCCTAGGTGGAGCTGTCAATTGTCAGGCATGCAGTGTATCATTTATTGTAGTACACGGTCGCGGGAAATTAATTTGGTCGTGTAGCGCAGCGTCACTATGCATGAATCCATCAGCGAAGCCACGTCCCGCAACGACTGTTTCACTTCTTGTTGTTAATTAATGCTGACATTTTGCAGCGTTACTCTCGTCGCAGCAGCCATTAGCAAGGCATTCCATCGTCACGACTCAGCCACCATTCGATCTCCACTGAAATAAGAATGTTGTTCGGTCTCGAAGGAGATTTTGAAGGTGCACTTCTCGTTGTAAGCAACGTGCTCTGATGAAAGGGATGTTTGTCCAGTGTCTTTAAATGAACAACTTTATACAATTCTAGAGCCTTTTTGTAAAATTGCGAAAATATTAAGTTATAATTTCTGTTAAATAATTGAACTGTTTTATTGCATGCGCTGAATGTTGCCGGAGACGAATTCTCGCGTGTTAATTTTGGTAATTTTTCGCGGTGGGACTCAACAATCATTCATTAAGTGTTAGCGAAGCTATGCCATGTAAATAATTCCCCATATTGCTTGCACGCGAGCATCCCTAAGTCCTTTTCTCGCTCGAGTTCCCCGTGGGGAAATATCAGGTTTGCCGATGAGCGAGAGCCACGTAAAAGTTATTGAGCTCAGAGGAAACGTCGCTTTCCGTCTGCTTCAATAATCCCGTAGAGAGCAGCGACGATCAAGGCCGGGGGCGGGCGGCAGAGAAATGAGCCCGCTGATGTAGAAAATGAGGTAATCTGGCTGTGTGAAAAGCAGTCTCAGAACTGAGTCCAACTTCTGCATGTCTGGCTCCCTTCTCAGCTATAGCGACTTGACTTCATCCAAGTCTGAGACTCGAATTTTCTGTATTTGTCTTGCAGCATTTCGATGGCGCTTCAGATTGAGCTTGTACATACAAGCTAATACATAAGCTTTGGAAATGTCTGTGAGATCTGCCAGATGGTTTATTTCGCTTGAAGACTAGTCGTTGAATTTATTGATTTATTTAGATGAAGGAAAGTTGCAGAAATTATTACGAATAATGAAAATTCAAACGAAAAAGTAAGAGTCAAAGGGAAGAAAACTGAAACCTAGAAATATAATTATGTATTATTGACTCGGGCTTGACTAGCATTCGACTTTTGCTGAATTACTTGACGCGTCCTTCAACTTGGATAATAAACCGTTTAGGTTTCATTCGATCGCTCCAATGGATCTGTTATCTTTATTAAACATTCATGTTAGCCAGGGACAAAATTATTTTCTATCTTATAATGGCCAACAGACAACAGTGGACCCAGAATTGCTTTATAATAATTTAAAGCATCTGTCTCACTTTGAAGTACTGTTTACCCTATAGTTTCTTAGTTGTGTAATGGAATATCAAACAAATATTTTCCTTATGATCTCAATCAGTTTTCTTATTATTGCAAAGTGCTTATGGACGTACAATAGCTTTATCTGAGATTATTGTTGGCTTCAAGCGATTTTAGTTTTGACATTGAAAGTCACTAATCTCCTACAATGAAACAAATTGCATTCATATGAACAATGACACTATGCGGTGCAATCAGTTTATCGCTTTTATTCTCTTTACTATATATTGTTAAATCGAATATTCCAACTGTAGCCGCAGTTTCATTTATCTTTCAGTGGCGCGAAACAGCGCTTTTAGTCCAGTAAACTTTCTCTCTTTATCCAGCGAAGTTAGCTAATGATTTATTGGGTGTCTGTTGGTAATCTATCGGCGAACGAGTTGCCGGCGCCGCTGATCCATCATGGCCGAGCCTGTGCTTTTCCTACGTTCCTATACCGCTGGATGATCTCTCTCTACCCTCCCTTCAAATTCCACTCTCTCACTACGCCAAAGTGTTCCTCAATAGAACTTTTAAATTTCCCGTATTTAGAAGAATTTTTTAGGTAATCCTTTCATGATGGAGAGGTTTGGTAAAAGTCAGTGGTTAACTGAGCGCCGCGGATGCGATGAATTGGACGTACCGTGCAGATTGAGATGAAGAAAGAGTGTCTTCTATTCGGACTGCCTATGAAACTTTAATGAATTATTTATGGCTATCTCGTCGAATGTAGAAGGTTCATCTTTAGTGCATTCGTTTAATTTATTTGGTAAGTCAAAGTAGCATCTGTTCCTTGCCGTATGCATGACGGTTATCCAGATTGCGCTAATGTAAGCAAGTGTGGATAATGGATGTAAACAAGGTTTACTTAAAAAAATAGTTTAATTTAATGGATGTAAGCTTCATTTTTTTATTTGGCCCGCATGTTTGTTATTACTTGGAAGTCTTTTGGTATTGTGATGCAAATCTGTACATGGGAAATGTTGTTGAGTCTGGCGCATGAACGGCCATCAGGGACAACACAGCGGCGTTGTGAAGTACACGTCGTGTTGTGGTGAGCTCAGGTCGTAAGAAAAGAACTGCATGGAACGTGTTCGAGCTATCACGACACAGTCCTTCTATTTACAGAAGAAACCAGTTCAGGTGTTGCTGTGCAAATGCAGCTAGTGCTGCTGCTGTTCTTCCCTTCTGGTATACCGTTGTACTCGGCGTTGTTCTCGGCCTTTCTATTTACAGAAGAAACAGGTTCAGGTGTTACTGGTTCTTCCCCTCTTGTTCTCGGCGTTGTTCTCGGCCCTTCTATTTACAGAAGAAACAAGTTCAGGTGTTGCTGTGCAAATGCGTCTAGTGCTGCTGCTGTTCTTCCCCTCTGGTATACCGTTGTTCTCGGCGTTGTCCCTGCGCTGTGTATGTACTTATTCCCCGATGAACACTTGCCAAAAAAGTACAAGGTTTGCACGCGGCAGTTGTTCACGATGACCTCCACGCTGCCCCGACTTTAATTCAGCATGCAATTCGGAGTTAGGTGAGCGCAATGAAGTGGGCAATATTGTGGGTAATAAGAAAGCTCTTAGAGCGCAATCTGGTGCGTGGTGTGCACCAATGCAACCATTTGCTGCCTCAAGACTCTCTTAAGTGCAGTTCCACCACCATCCTATAAATACCAAGTCTCTTCTTAAACTATTGAACTCTTCTTTATTGGAACTTTGCTTAGACAGCGCCAACGTTATCTGCCCGCGCGGCTTCCTGGAAAGTACTTTGCAAATTACAGCTTCCGAAGTCTCTTTACTTCTGCACAATTCTGTGCTACTAAATGTGTAGTGAGCCTTACTTTCAGTTATTTTAATGGCCTAGTTCAGCTTGTATGGAACTCGTTTTTCGTCCACTAATTGTTTTTTTTATCGAAATTGGTATATGCCTCGCTTTTTAGCGCATTTTCTCATTTATGGAAAAAATGCACTATTGTGCTCGCCATGTCCCTCTGTCTGTCTGTCTGTCTGTCCGTCCGTCCGTCCGTCCGTCTGTCCGTCCGTCCGTGACCTCAAGTTTTCGTCGACGAGAAAATGCGCTCTCTGTCACTCACAGCAGTGAGGACTGAGTTACATTTTTTTATTTCATGATTCAAAACGTCTACAATTGATGCAAATTGTATTTGTAAGTATTTTTAAAAGTGTTTAAATCTCACTATAATTTTGTTGTGGCTCAAATGTTTTACATTTCTGCTTTAGCATCGAACCTCTCGGTTGTCATCCTGCCATTTTGCCAGCTCGAATCTTTCATGTTTGGGGTGTTGGACTCTTCATCTGTAAAGCACACGATGTCTTCGAGTTCATTAATGTCGTTTATCAAATACTTAATTTGCCAGGTATGTTAAGAAGCCACTCCTATCAATCACAGGGCTTGGTATAATTAGCATGCGAATATTACAAAGGTTGCTGTAGACGTTCTGTGTTATGGCTACGTCGAACGTTATTCATTTTTCCTTACTTTTTATATTTATTTGTATTC